AAGTAATCGGAAAGAGTTCAATATCTACTTTATATACATATATAAAAATAATATATAATTCTAACCATATATATAAACAATGTATTTATCCATCGAAGGAGATTCAAATGAACTCCTCACCCCATATAGCTTCGACCCTATTGATAGGTCTTAGCATTGGCTAATTAGATAGATATTTTGAGTCTGAATTCGATCCTTAATGATAGTCTTTGTGTGATGATGCAAAAATAATTAATCGAATCAGTAAACTTCGATTAATATGTTGTTCTAGTGATGAGAACAATATTAGAGTTGCCAATTACTTTACTGTCCAAAGAAAGTTATAAAGTTCTATCATATATTGAGTGTGGTAATTATGTATGAAGCATGCTAAATAAAAAAAACAATAATATATTCCCACTGTTTTCCCAATTTCCTCTAAGCTGACTTACTAGGTGTCTGGTGAGAAAGCTGCTCAACCACTTCACCTTAATTAAGGTGTTACACCAAACCAATTGGTATCAAGTGATGATTCCACATATTTGATATCCTTAGATCATATAGGTAATTTTTTTTACTATATAAAGTCTGGTGTCTAGATTAATTTCATAAATATCTATACAGAGAAATTATTTTTTGTGTGTGTTAAATTATTAAACTCAAAGACCTTTGTAATTTTCAGCTAAATCGCCTCATCAACAACCACCAACTCCATAATTTTGACAAAGAGATCCAAAATTTTGGCCTACAACTAATCACTTACTTTGATGAGCTTCTACCATGTGGCTCAATTTATTACATACTAGTACTTGACTAACTAGCACTAATGGACCAAAGGATTAGGTCATCCACATCCACATTAAGATCTTTATTATATTTTTTTGTTGTAAGAAATGAAAAAAGCTAGTCTACTAATTAGAAGACAATTGGTGAAAATGATGAAACACATAAAGACATTTGTATATGATATGTTATTATAAATTGCTCAAAAGTGACTTCACTTGAGAGTGAAGAAGTCTTTAATTAGGTATTTTGTTTTACCAAAAGTGGATGCTACATATTGACAACCAACACTCTTACAAGTAAAGTTTGGCCACTCCTTGTCTGTCTTCTACCCCATAATATGCCCATTATATATAAACATTTTGATGCCCCTACTTTGCCTTTATGCTTGATCATGCCCTTTCACTAAATTTTTTGCAATAGTGAATCTTTCAATTACTAGCTAGAAGCAAAGCTAGGTACTAGCATCCACAATTCCCTATATCTTATATATTAAGACAATGTATATAATTTTATACAGTCAGTATATAGAATTTATTCGCTCTTGATATTTATATTTAATATATTGATCAATACTATAGATTGATTGGTCAGATTAAGTGATTAACCAATCAAAAATTGACTTCAGTCATTATGAGTTAACCAGAAGCAAAATTAAGCTAATTAACTATGGTTAAGTGATATTGGTTAATGGAAGTAAGTGTTATGCATTCATCATTGGGTTTTTTTTCAATACGAGGGTATGTTAATATTTTAAAATTATATGATATGTATTATTTTATGTTCATTTAAATATTTATTTTTTAATATTTTAAATAACTGACTTCGCAGCAGAACGCCAGATAAGTCTTCCAAACAACATATTTTTTTTGTCTTTTCTTTGTTACAAAAATGTATTGTACAAGGCTCTAAATTTCAGCAACTAATTCCCTTTTTTGTCATACATTGTGAATCCAAAATTGCAATTCACAATTTCATAGATTTTTCCATTAATAAGGTTTAATTTTTCTAACCGTAATTTGTCGTAATACCTAAGTAAGCTCTTCTGTTGTAACGCAAATTACACTTTTAGAATTTCCTAATTGGGTACGTAATTAACTCTTTTTTCTTTTCCATGTAAACACAAATTTATTTATTCTTAATTTAGGGTTCATTGCATTTTGGTCCCTCGATTTTTGATAAATTCTAATATCAATTCAGTGATATCTAACTAAATGTGTTTTATCTTCGATTAAATCAAAATGTATAAATTTTGATCCTTTTACTTGTAAACATTCACAAATTCACCATAATTACTAACTGTGTCGAAGCCATATATTATAAAGATTCGATAAGTATAATCTATTATTGATAAAATAATAAATATTTATCGTACAATAATTCAATATGCACGTAAATTAATCCGAACACTACTGTTATAAAAAGTGTGACTCTAGCGACAGATCCCTTTTACCTCAAGTCAAAGCAAGATCTACCAAAGCCTTTTGTTAATTTGGAGGCTTGTTGAGGAGCTTCACTTATTCACAAGCAAAACCAAGTCTTATAATTTCTTATTCGAGGTTCGGTATTCATTTTGGAGTCTGAATAATTTTGATTTGTGATGAGATATTTTATTTTATTAAATAAAAGATTTTTAATCAAAAGTAACTTTAACATTTAGAATTCAAACTCAAAAATGTTTCTAATTAAGATTGAAGAAATACTTTACTGTGTGACGGACTAGTATTACTAGTAAAAGTAAAGTTAATCCTTAAGCTTAATTGGTCCACTTTGTGTGAATATGAGATCTGGAGAGCTAGGTGACATATACAGTTTCCATGATTAAAGATATATTAGAATATAAGTAAAGTTCATTAATGATAAGCACGTCAACCCTTTTAATTAATTAAAAATATAGAATTAACAAGAATATTAGTTAGTATTTGCTGGTGGTTAGGCTCTTGAGAGTTCATGTTGAACTGTATCTCTAAGTTGAGAGTAGTTAGATAGACAGTAACTTGTTATTTCCATAGTTTAACATTTGTCCTGATTTTATTTTTTTTTTAAGTTTTTATAACGACGTTCAAATTAATATACAATAATAATTGATGGAAACTGTTAGTTTCGTCTTCAAACTATTGACAGCCTTAAAAAAATATCTTCTAACTCTACTTAAAAAATTAATTAAACTTAAATAAAGTGGAAGAGAATCACGTGAAATTTGAAATTCTACTTCTAATTCTTGTTTTTCCAAAAAAAGGAAAAAAACTACAATGATATCCCATTTGCAATTAGTCATGAGCAAACTAACTACTCGATACATATATTGGTGAAAGATATTAAATATTGAGTACATAGTTAATTATTATCGTCCAATAAACCCCAGTTTAGAATATAAAAAATTGTATCGAATAGATTCTCAGCTCAAAAAAATAACTTGTATTTTAATAATACATATGTGTGTCTCACGTAAGCAAGTAAATCCATATATAAATGGAGCTACTAGTAACCCATACACAGCTAATTCTTCTTTTTGTTTTTTATTTTTTATTTTATTTATTTATTTATTGTATGTAGTTATAAAAAATGCTAATAATGATAAAGGGTGCATGTGTTACTTTTTATATATATACAGATAGATAATGGTTCATTCATGGCAACTTCTCTTCTCTTCTCACCAGCAATGCTTAGGGAATACTCATATCATATAGTACTATAAAATCCCAACTGAAGTTATTTGTGTGGGACCTATCTTTTTTTTTTCCACTCGGTGTCCAGTATTCACATTAAAGTCTAATTAAATTCGAATCCAAATTGGAACGTCCCACATTGAAGATGAATCGCTCTAACAGAAACGACTCTATATCCAAGAGAATTCAACCACGAGAACTTTTGATTAAGAATGAAAGAATATTTATCGCTCTATCACAACCTGATTGGTTGTGGGACCTATGCTTAACCTGTTCCTTTGGATGGATATCATGCAAGAATTAGTTAGGGTAGAGCACTCTGCCACTACTTTGACTTCATAATTTTGTTAATCAAAAGACTTCTTCACTTTTATTCACCCCCCACCCCCCAAGGGTACTTGCTACCTGTACTTTGATACTAATTGCTATTTCCCCTTTCTATGTAAAAAAAAGCCCATGTGGGGTGCCAGAATTAAAGATTGTTTCTTTCATGTCTGAACATTGTCATGATCTAAATTACTGCATAACAATGGAATGTATTGAAAAGTGCAATATTGCCTTCTTCTTTTTTTAGATCTAAGAATGTATACAAATTTTTGGCCTAATAATCCTTGTAATAATCGATTCAACCTCTGATAAAAAAATTATACATTCATCATATTTCATCTCTTCAACAATTTAGGTTTAACTTTGAGCAACTTGCCCGCACAACTACTTTTTTGAGAATAGAGACTATAATATAGTGATAGATGCATTAACAATATTATCTTTTAATATCTCTCCCTACGAGCTTCAACCCTTTTTTTTTTGGTTCCTTTGATCATTCAACTTAAAACCTTAAAATTGGAAGTGAGGTGACGTGTTCTTACAATCCGAACAACTCCCTCTTTATCACGTCAAATGGAAAGTAGAATTTTAAACAATATTTCACTGGGATGAAAAGGTTGAGATGTAGCAGAGAGTCAAATAGCCCTTGTATATTCTAATGCACCCATAAGCAATAAAAAGCACACGCAGATCCTGCTGGAATTACCCACTGTCTCCGGCTGCATCTAAGGGCTAAAAAAATCTACATGGCCCACAGTTGTATCTAAGAGTGGGATGTGTATTATGTCATAACAGGTGCAAGTGTTTTCTACTAATATATATATATATATGTATATATATATATACTGAAAATTCAGAAAGTATGGAGTAGATTCACATTCCCATAGTAAAAGAAGTGATGAGCACAACCAGTACCTGCTAAGGCCTTGAGCTTCCTCTTTACATGACTTGACTTGAAGTGATTGAGGCCATCAAGTCAATCAAGGAGTTAACACTTCACTATCAATGCAACAAGCCCTTCTAAGTCGAATAATACGCCGAAAAAGGAAGTATCTTGAAGTATCAGGCCAAAAGGAAAACTGGCATGATGCCTAATCAGTCAGACTTCTGGTACAAATACATATAACAAATTGAATAGTGAACAATGTTCAACAATGGTAATAACAACCAATTGAGTTTCGCAGGCTGCGAAATAGAAAGAGGATGATGTACAAGGGGAACAACAAACAAAAAGAGAGGATATTCTGTACAAAACTAAACTTCAATAATTTAAACGGATCTTTATCCTCCTTTTTTGAAATATGGATCAATTGACCATATAGCTTAAACTTTACAAATATTATTTTAAGAAACCAGTCAGTCAAAAGCTTCCTAGGAATCTGGTGCTAAGACAACAAAATAGTGGCTACTGTACAGCTCCAAAAGTTTAGCATCCATCAGCTTATGTAACACCACCATTGCAATGCAATTTCTTACATCTTGGGTTAAAAAAAAATACTCCCACTACTATGACTATACAAGGAAAACTGGAACGTGCTAATGAAACATTACCAGATGATTCCACCACACAGCCCAGCTACTGCGGCATGAACGTAAAATGTGTCAAAACTTAGCTAAACCCTTGAATAAAAGAATCACATTCCCTTTTTTTTTTTTGTTGAAAGAGAAACTAGAGTTAGACTAAAGCATAACCTCTAACCATCTCGGCTCTTATATATCCAGGCTCCATCACCAAAGACTTCTTCAATCATAGTGGGTGTTGGAACCAAACCAACTTCATTTCTGGCACAGTTCAAGTACCCACCATCCCACTCTTTGCCATTACACGACTCCAACAGACTATCATGCTTGGTGCCACTGCCCATTCCAGCAATATCACTTGCCCAATGGTTATCATTGTTAGTCTTCCCTAGTGATGATTCTGAAGTAACCCCAGCTGCATCAGTTGTACAGGACTCAACCACTTTACTTGATAGTCCTTGGTCTTGAGGCTGCATGCCAACTTTAAAACTGTTGTTACTATCAAAAAACTTACTAGGACATGATTCCTGCACATCAGTGAAGACCTTCCTGCTACCGAAATTTACAGGCTTATAATCTTCACATATTGCTTCATGCGCATCCTCATCATATGTTCGTCTATCGCGCTCCTCATGGATCATATTGTAGCTGAGACCATTATGATGTGCTGGAGATTCAACCACAGAGTCCTCATCTTCATCTGTCATTTTAGCTGCCTCGTCAGCATCATCAACTGCGTCATGCCACTCATCATTATCACTGTCTATGTTCAGTGGATCAAATCTGTTCTGCTCGGCACGTTTTCGCAAAATAAAGACATTAAAATAATAGCTGACAAGTTCTTCCCTACGCCGTGAAGGAAACTCAACTGCAAGATGGTTCCAAAAATTATTGCCTAACGAGGCAGGATTGGACAATACAACCTCATGAAATAGTTCCTCTTCCTCTTCACTCCATTTTTCTGCCACTACCTCTCCCATGTCACAAAACCCCAACCTAACAAATGTCTCCTCGCCAAGGGCTAGCTTTAGTTTTTCCCTTGCTTCGATGACATCTAGTTGAACACATCTTATGGAATCTTTATCTTCACAAGAACATTCAACTCTTCTCTCTCCAATATTCTCGACCTGGTCTGCAAGTAGCTCCATTTTAGGCATCGGAATGATAGTCCTTCCAGCAAGTTTATTTTCATTGGCTTGAGATGGAGAACTCACAGTTTCATGTATACCTTCTATGCACGGTTTATCCTTATTACTATATGGTGTCCATTCTGGTAACTCTGCCTGGAAATCTGGTCCAATAGGAACCATCTTTTGAGGATTACTCGAAAGAGAGGAATATATCTCCCTGTGATGAGCAGCAGCTCTGAACAAATGATCAAAATAGTAATATTCAGGAGACGTCAATCTGTGAAAAGGAGCCTCAGGCCTGTTGTCTTCCTCACTGGTGCTACTGGTGGGCCAGGAAGAGTTTGAAGCAGATCCATGAGTGCCCATCTCAGTTTCCTTCTCAGAAGAAAAAAGAACTTCAGCCACAACGTGACTATCAAATTTCTTGTTTGCATCAGGGAAGATTTTCGAAGAGTTGTCCTCATCACCACCTACAAAAATCCATAGATAACAGACAGTTGATCAGAGCATGGAGCAAAAATATTCACTTAAGATCCAAAATCTACTCTTACAAGACCATAAAGTAAGGTGTCAAGGAAACCACTCTAAAGTTAAAAATACTTGGCAGGTCTTACAGCGCACTGCACTCCACCAATGACTTGAAGCATTTCAACAATGGTACATAACAAAATAACTTCTTGTTACCTGAAGCATAAGCATCCACAGCTACTGATTCACGAGAAAGTTCCAAAACCGAATCTAGCTGACAACTGGGTTCATGCCTTGGTTGTTTAGATGAAACCTCATACAGATCCTCTTCACCAAAAGGTCTTTTTTGCACCATAATTAGCTGCAAGGAACTACAAAATATGAGATATTTACACATAAAACGAGAAAAGTTCAAATATAAAAAGCAGAGGAGGAATCCCACTGAATCAAACACACAAAAACTGTAAAGACGAGCACTACAGTCCACAGCTCTACAATCTCAGCCGAATAATTTTTGAATCATGTATAACTGCATTGTCTAGCTGAAAAGAAATATATATATTAACATAAACACCACATCAACTCTCAATGAACAGAAAAACCAACACAGGCATTTCGATATACAAGCTTAATAATAGCATGTCATAGCAGCCAGAAGAAGCGCCCTATTCGACTATGGACTCGGAACTACACAACAACCCCCTTACATGAAAATTGAAGTATTAACATACACGCTTGGCCATCTCATCACAACATATAAATACAAGACTATATTAACAGCATATAAACCTGCCAAAAGAGGCTAATTAAGGTTCTAGTTCCTAATTAATGACACGCGGCAGGGATAAAACAGTGACGACCCTGAAATAAGTTTTATCATCATAGCCCTAAATAACAGAAAACTGAAAAAGAGACCCATAAGTTCTGACTAATTACATGTAACAACAAAATTGACAAATTAGGGTACCATGAATAGAACTCAAAATTGGGGTAGCGAATTATTCAATTTGAACAACTCGACGACAGGGATACGAATTCGGGTAAAATAATTTCACTTTATTGGAAAATTGAGGGGTAAATAATAAGAAAATGCAAATTCTATCGAAAACCCTAACCCTAGATCCCCAAATCAGATTCAACTCTTCAATCAACAGCAGAATAATCAAACTCAACTAAAAATTGCTTCACATAAATCAAATTCAACACGAAAGAAACAAGAAACCCCAAATCCACAAACCAATTATATCGAAAGAAGATCAACCCAGTTTTTCTTTCACAAACAAACAGAGAAATCAAGGAAAGAAAAAACAAAATAAAGATACAACAACCGATAAATTTCACAAAAGAAGCGACGAATCGAACAGATCTAAAAGATACAGAAAGAGATCTAAACCCTAAAATCGAAATTCCATTTACCTAATGGATATAGCCGAAAGAGGTATCAATAGAAAGGGGGGAGAACGAATTAGATGAATCGGAGATTGATTTGAAGTTTCCGATGAGAAATCGAGGTCAAGAAGAAGATGGAATAGAATTGGGGAAAAGTCGTTGAAGATAAAAAGGTGAAGGTAGAGCCCTAATGGGTTGCGGAAATCTGTTATCGGGCGGGTCTGAAATTAGTAACGCGGGGAGGTCCAAAAAAAAGTTGCGCCAAATGTAATTTGTTAGCCTAATTGGTTTACAAATTAATTGGTCAGTCACGTGGTGATATACATTGAAATATCACGTGCTCGAAAAAAATAATAATTTATGGTTGTTTTATTAGAAAATAATTTTATCACTTTTTTTTAATCCCAAAAAATTATCCTATATTAATTTAAAAATATGTCCAAAAGGAAAGTTCAACATCAAGCTGTGAAGAGTTTTCTTTTATTTTTATGAAATCCAGACAATAAAGAAATTGAGAACTATAATAAAATAAAATAAATCTCTTAAAATCATAAATTTACACCTATACGCTTTTGTTCTGACTTTTTGTAAGAAAAAAATTTGATTTGCATTTAAAATTTATATAAGATATCGTAAACAAAGTTACTATATGTAAGTAGAAGATAACATATACTGATAAATCATATACCCAGTAAATCAATGTCCTCACAAAGAAGTGAGGAGAACAGAAGTGAGAAGATAACCATCTTTGCTCTAGTACATCCAAGCTCCATCACTAAAAATTTATATTATAGTGTGTGTTGATACCAAATCAACTTCATTTCTGGCACAGGTAAAGTACCCAACGTTTCATTTTTTGCCATTACATGACTCTAATAGACTATCATGTTTGGTGCCACTTCCCATACTAGCAATATCGTTTTAACGATGGTTATCATTGTTGTTCTTTTTTAATGATGATTCTGAATTAACCCCAGCTGCACCAGTGGTACAGGAGCCACCTTGAACTTCTTGCTCAAACACTTTATTTGATAGTACTTGGTCTTGCACACTACATACCAAGTTTATAATTGGTGTTACTATCAAATACCTTACCAGGACATGATTCCTGCACATCAGTGAAAACCTTTCTACTACCAAAATTTACAGGCTTACAATCTTCCCATATTGCTTCACTCACATCCTCATCATATATTCGTCTACCATGCTCCTCATGAAATTAAACATATTGTAGCTGAAATCATTGTGATATGCTGGAGACTCAACCACAGAATCCTCATCTTTATCCATCATTTTAACTCCATCACCAGCATTACCAACTGCATCATGCCACTCATCATTATCACTGTCTATATTTAGCGGATCAAATATGTTCTGCTCAACACATTTTCGCAAAATAAAGACATTAAAACATGAAGCAAGAGGTGTGACAACTACATAAATGTCATAATAAGGTGGCTTAAAAGCACAACTTGATAAATTCCAATCAAAGGAAGTAGCAAGATCAGAACTAAAGGCACATTAAATAGAACAGAGAAACCAGGTAACATATAGAGTTTAATCAATCACTCACACTCCGCATGCTCTTGATTATGTCAGGCAAGCTGGTCAACATGTTTGCTGAGACAGACAGACGCTCAAGTTTCACCAACTACCCCGCTAAATACAGGTTGTTTGTGTAGTTATAGCAGAGAGCCTGGCTCATATAAGAAAAAAAAGAATTCACCTAACATAAGTGATCTAAAATATATAAACTTACATTCATCATGCAAGTTTGTGATTCGATTCCCATCAAATGTTGTCATTTTCAAAGACTAGAGCAATCCCAGATTCATGGGAAGGCACTCAATAATGTTATCAGCTAAAATCTGAATATAGATAATAAGAAATACAAGTTTTTTGCTCTTAGTATTAGATTATAAACTTAAGAAATATGTTCATTATTAATATAGTAAAAAACTAATGATATCATTATGAGTAATAAACAATAAAAATTCGATAGAAGTCCTTAGAAAAACTACAAAGTATTATTCAATAAGAAACGTAACAGGACAAGTAGAAGAGTTATTATTATGGTCCATAGTTAGATTTTAGGATGTGGTTCTCCCTCATTTATAACAGCTATTTTCTATGCTTTATATTTCAAAATTTATGGTGCAAGATTTAGAAGTGGCTAATCAAGTAATCACCAAGAGTTTTCTTCCCCTAAAACAAACATTTTTTTCGTGTCTTGCTACATTTATAATTTAATCTACCCACCTTAGATCCCAATCAAATAACTAGAGTTTGTTACCTCTAAGCCAAGAAAATGATGTGATTCTCCCAACTTCTTGATATCAAATCCTCTTCTTGAAGTCTTGCAACTTCCTCATCATTGTTTCCTGTTATTATCATGTCATCAACGTACAAGAGAACAACCACATGCAAATCTTCTTGTTCCTTAACAAACAAGATAGGATCTGAATGTGATGTGGTATAGCCACAAAAATATAGATATTGAGCAATTTTTTCATACCATGCTCGTGGAGCTTGCTTGAATCCATGAAGTGTTTTTTACTTGAAGCATCAGATCCTTCATGATTTGTTACTGTTGGGTATCATCTTCGAATAGGTGTAGGAGTCTCTACTAATTGGTATGTTCGACTAATCGTGATCTTTCATTTGCTTGCTCGTACTCTGATTAGATGATCTTGTTACTTGTTTGTTTTATTTTGAATGATTTTAAAGATCTATTAAAGAATTATTGTTTGGGTCTTCTGTTTGTTAATACTAGTTATAGTTATGAACTTTCTTCCCTCTTTGCATTTTCGAGATGAGCCACGGAGACTCATACTTCCATTCCTGAGTCAACCTCTATCAAAGTCATGAAACAAAGCTAACAATATTGGGTTAAAAGCCAAACAAAGTGGCAGCAGGCTAACTAACAGAGTTACCCTAGTTCAAAAGAAGCTGAAATAATAATCTTTTGGGTCCAAAACCAATTATACTGTGGCAGTAATTTTCACAAAGGGCTGAAAAATTGAAATTTTGGGACTTAAAAATCCAATTTAAGCACAGCAGTAGCAGCGGGAAGCAACCACTTCTTTACTTTATTTAGTTCTTTACTTCATTTGTGAATATACGATGAAAATTTATTTTAAATAAATTAATTTTTTTTTTAAAAATTATGATCATTATTTAGTTAAATGAGTTTAATGAATTAATTAGTTTATTATTTTTTGAAAAAAAGACTTTAATGACATGACATGTCAACTAGAAGAGAGTGTCTTTTGAAGTGTCAAAGTATATGTGAAAAAAAATAGTGATATTTTGATTTAGACATAAATGATATTTCAAGACAAATCACTTAAATTTGGTGACTATTTCGAAAATTGACTCTAAGTAAATATATAAATTAAATAAGTTAAAAATTATTATTGTTACTTATATTTTTGAATAATTTAATAAATAAATCAAATAATATTACAAATTATTATTATTAAATCTAGACAATTAACTAAGCTTATATATTAATTTATACACATAAATATCTATTATAACAAATCAAGGTACAAAATGTTAACCTTCTATCAAATAAGTTTAAAGATTTCATTCCTAAGTTAAATTTTGATATTACCAATGATAAAAAAATATTTGTAATTATGTTTATCAACCTAGCAGTTCCCTAATATATATACTATTCCTTCCGTTCATTATTGTCTGTCATGGTTTAATTTTTAGAGTTAAATTATAAAATATTTAATTAACATTTTATGATGTATTTTTTCATTATATTAATATGTAAAAAAAATATAATATATAATATTTTTTATATAATTTTAAAATATCTAATTTTTTAATTAAAAATATTAAATTAATGTAATCTATTTTATTTCAAATTAATTTTCAATAAACACAATATGACAAACATAGGGAGTAGTACATATTTAGTAGTAATACGAGAAGTAATAGGAGTGGGATACCCATAACAAAACTAGGGTTTCCAATTGTAGTTCGAATTGGAAATTCTGTTCACCAAATCTAGGGATTTCCCGTTATGTAAGGCGGCTGCCGGCTGGGATCGGAACGGTTGAGATAGATTTTCCGATGGCGCCAAAGATGCCTGATTGGTCGGAATTTCCATCTGAACTGTTGGTTTCCATAGGTAGATGTTTGAATCTTATTGAAGACTACCTAAATTTTGGCTCTGTTTGCAAATCCTGGCACTCTGTAGCCACCAAGAACAATTTTAACAATGACTTAACTAGAGCTCCTTGGTTGATGCTAGCGGAGGAAGAGGATAATGAGGTTAGGAAATTCTTCAGCCTCTATAATGGCATGATTTTGAACAAGAGAATGCCCAAAGCTAGCAGAAAACGGTGTTTGGAGTCTATGGGATGGCTTATCACGGTAGGAGAAGAGGGTGAAATTCGTCTGCTACATCCCTTCTCTGGTGTTCACATTGAATTGCCTCATGTAAATACAACAGAAGACTACTACAATCATGAGATTGAACCAGTGACTTGCTTTATCGGTAAGGCAGTTTTATCAGCTAGTCCTTCTAACACATCCGACTACATTCTCATGGTCATCGACGGTAACTTCTGGGACCTCAGATTCTGGAGACCTGGAGATATTAGATGGACTAAAATTAAATTTGAAGGAAGCAATTACTTTTCTTTTACTGATATAATATTATTTAATGACCAAATTTATTCTGTGGATCAATCGAGCTGTCTCTTAGTTTGTGATGTCGCTGAAGTTGTTGGCCCTCAACTCACTAAATGCCATACCTTAGCTCAGATACCAACTGAACCTCAGGATACGCCAGATCACTTGTACATTTTAGAATCACTAGGATCATTATTTGTAATTGCGCGATATGGTGTTCAACTTAGGTTAGTCCAAGATGATAGCGACAGGATTCCGTTAACGCTCTTACCAGAAGGAGATACAAGCGAGGATGGGCTTTGGGAGAATATAACATATGGGACAACAAATTTTCGAGTTTTCCAGTTTGATTCAGCTGCTGTCAAATTGATAGAAACCAGGGAATTAGGGGACGCAGCTTTTTTTGTAGGTGCTAATGCTTCTATTTCAGTCCAAGCTTCTCAATGTACAGGAATCAAGCCCAATCATATTTATTTTACAGACGATTTTTATGAATCATACCTCTCCTACGATGAAGGAGGAGGCTTGGACATGGGGGTGTTCAACTTAGCCGATGGCAGCATCCAGCCGCACTACAGAGGTGTTTCCCTTAGTCGTTTTTGTCCTCCAATTTGGGTAACACCAACTCCTTATTGAGTCATACATACTCATCCTTTATTTATTCTGTTATGTTAGGTTACTTTTTAAGCTTTTAATTTAAGTAATTAGTGTTATTTACTTTCAAAACTGGTTGATGTACCTTTCTTATTGGACAAAATATAATCCAATTAGTTGTTATACTTCCTTGAGTATGTGAACTCAGTGAGTGACTTAGAAGAGAGTATTATTTGTGGGATTCAGGTGGAGTGTTGGGCGTGATTAGAGCGTGAAAATACAACTATAGGAGAAGTCCATAGTTGAACATGTTTACTTTCCTTTGGGAACTTAGCTAATCTATGCAGTTTACATAATGAACGCAAAAAGAAATCATTCATGCCCAAGTCTATGAATGGTTGTTAGTTTTCTTTCATTTGTATGAAGCCTAAATGTCTGAGTCAGCCTACTAGTTATTTGTATTCCCAGAATTTTGTTTCTAGCAAAGCTAGTAAGTGTGAGTTTTTGTTATTCTTCATCCTGAATCAGCTTGTTTGAATGTCGTTGCATCTGTTCACTTTTGTTTATATCTAGTTTTAACTTTTAAGCATCAGAATCTTCATGGTTTGTTACTGTTGGGTATGTGTAGGAGTCTCTACTAATTGGTATGTTGGACTAATCGTGATCTTTAATTTGCTTGCTCATACTCTGATTAAATGTTCTAGCTACTTTGTTTTATTTTGAATGATCTATTAAAGAATTATTGTTTGGGTCTTATTTTTGTTAATATTAGTTATAGCTATGGACTGTCTTCCCTCTTTGCATTTTCGAGATTAGCCATGGAGGCTCATACTTCCATTCTTGAGTCATCCTCCATCAAAGTCATGAAAGGAAAGCTAACAATATTGGGTTAAAAGCCAAATCAATAGCAGCAGGCTAACTAACAGAGTTACCCTTAGTTCAAAAGAAGCTGAAATATTAATGATTGATTAAATATGCAAAATTTGGGGTTCATTTAATGCAAATGATACTGCAATAGTCTTATTTTTCAACGGAGTTCTGCATTTCTGAAAATAATAATGGAGCTCTGTAGATACTTATGTGCATGTTATTAAGGACTGATAATTTTATGTTACAAAAGGTTTGCACATATAACAAGTTTTGAGTAAATATATACATAGCTTTTACAAAAAGAAAAGAAACAAGTGATATAGACCATGTACAATTATTCTAACACATCATACATACATTGCCCAGTTTGTCCAAGTTAACAATTCCATTCCTGAGCAAATTCTTCGCAGTCAGCAGCAATAACTGTTCATTGAAATCAATCAATTTTAACGCGTCACATTTCCACCCAACTGCAACAAACAAAATTGGCCAGCAGTTGATCAAAATGCATCACCTGATCGTTTGAAACTAATTCTGGCACAAATGAACTGGCAGATATATCTATCAGACTCGGAAACTTGCCAGACGACATAATTCTGCCGCGAAGGACACAGTCTATAACAATTATGGTGCAGCACTTTTTTAGATTGAGCATGCTTTCCACAATGGATACCATCACTGGCAGCCATGTAAGTCTATACTGTTATACAAGCATTGGTTGGGGCGTAAATGATAGTAGGAGCAATATGGTAGGGAAGCTTATCAATGCCAACATGCATATCAACCAGAGACATGAGCATAAGCCTATAACTGTCATACAAACATTGATTGAGGCATATATGATAGCTGAGGCAATATGGTAATTAGTAAGGAGGCAAAATCAACGGCAACATGCATATCAAGCAATGCCATGAGCATTTGACAACAATGAAGTAAGTGAATTTAGATAGGGGTTATTTGCATAAACGTGTATTATGGGATAAGTTTCCTTCGAAAAACAGGAGTGAAAGGGCTTACAAAATTTACAGCTGTATTGGTATATCACAGATCAACACCCTCATCAAGCCCTTTAGAACTAATTATCACATTTGAATCAATTTGTTTGTCGAACTTCATTTTACGCCTGGCTTCAAATTCTTGAAATCCTTCCATCTGAATGGAAAAAGGTCAGTCGGAGATCCACATAAGTGACCTTTTAAGGATGCACAGAGGTGAGCACAATAGTGACTTACTTGTTGAAATTGGTCCATAGTGATGGGATTGCCATGTAGGGCTATGTTCTGCAAGCCCTTGCATTCTCTTAATAAATTTGAAGGCATCTGTAAAAATGAGAACGAACAAATCAATAGCTAAAATATGGCTGTAAAATAAGCAGATAAACAAGGAGAAGGTGAACTCCAGGAATAGCACATTAAAGACAAGAAACAAAACTTTGGCAAATATCTATATTTGACACAATGACTATTTCATATCAAGTCCAAGACATGAGGATGTTTAATTTAAGGAAACGCCTTTTTGTGCATGTTTTAAGGTTGATGAAGAGTTATATAACATATTTATACACGAATCAGTTGAATAGCCTTTGTGTGTGTGTGAGAGAGAGAGTGCGCGCGCGCGTGTGTGAGTGAGAGTGTTCGAAGAAAATATCAGTCTAACAAAGTAAATATTGCTTTTTGTTACACTATGTGAGACAGACCGTACAACTTAGATCCACTGATGCTGAGCATGCCTTTACATATGTACATGACTCTGTGTGTGTGTGAATGAGAGAGAGACAGACAGACAGAAAGAGACAGCGACATAAGTTTGGAAATTACCTGATTGAGATTATTATTGTTCAAACAGAGTGATTTTAGCTGAATGAGATTGCAAACTGAACCAGGAAGCTCTTCAATGGAGTTATCTGTAACAGAAACTTCCAATCATGAGCCTTAGGAGAAACAGAGCTCATCACTTCAATAAAGGCATTAAAGTCAGTAAAAGTACCAACAGTGAATTGGAGAAAAGTAGAAAAATGATATTGTATATCACCTCAAAAAAGTATTCCACAAAGACTAGTCATCTCACATGTAAGAGTTGCTAATGTTCAATTTGATATGCATACAAAGCTACGACACCCAGGAGACCAAAGGAAAAGGAGAGACAGAAAAAATCACAAGAATCATGAGCTAAGAATGAAGGTACCATTTGCTTGCAGTTCTTCCAATGAGCAGCAACTTCCAATTGATTCAGGAAGAAACTTTAACTTGTTGTTTGAAACATTCAACAAAACCAACTGCATCGCCAAAAGATATTATCAATTCGTCTGCTCAAAACTTACCAGTGAAAAGGAACTGCTAAGATGCCTGTCTAATCAGTACTAGCTTCCTTCAACTGCATCCCCGTAAATACTAGAACTCACAAGTAGCTGATAATCTTTTTATAATAACATGTACAAGTGTAAAACAGTTCCAGAATCAACAGAACCATTGAACTTGATTCAGAACCCCCAAAACACAAGAACAAGAATTTGAATAATAACATATAATGCAAGTCTATACAGTATTTTTATCTGTTTAGCAGTGACGACAAAAAAGATAACAGGAAACAAATTAACACATGAAGCAAGAGGTGTGAAAACTAAATAAATGTCACAATAAGGTGGCTTAATAGCACAACTTGACAAATTGGTTGGGATTTCTTTCATATTTACAGAATAATTCTCCAATCAAAGGCATTGGCAAGATCAAAACTAAAATAATTCTTTTGTTAGCTAAACACCTTTACAGTAAAAATATTTTAATGAACAATAAAACTATGTAGGAGTAAAATCTTTATAGGCACATTAAATAGAACAGAGAAAGCAGGTAACATATAGAATTTAATCAATCACTCACACTCCGCAAGCTCCCGATTGTGTCAGGCAAGCTGGTCAAAAGGTTTGCTGAGACAGACAGACGCTCAAGTTTCACCAACTGCCCCACTGAATACAGAAAGTTTGTGTAGTTAGAACAGAGAGCCTGGCTCATATTAAAAAAAAAAAAGGAATCCACCTAACATGAGTGATCTAACATATATAGACTTACACTCATCAGGCAAGTTTGTGATTCGATTCCCATCAAATGTTGCCACTTTCAAAGACTGGAGCAATCCCAGATTCATGGGAAGGCGCTCAATAATGTTATTGGCTAAAATCTGAATACAGATAATTAGAGATACAAGTTTTTTGCTCTTAGTATTAGATTATAAACTTAAGAAATATGTTCACCATTAATACAGTAAAAAACTAATGATATCATTATGAGTAATAAACAAGAAAAATCCGATAAAAGTCCTTAGAATAACTACAAAGAATTATTCAACAAGAAAAGTAACTGGACAAGTAGAAGAGTTATTATTATGGTCCATTGCAAAGTCCTAGATCAGTACTACAAAGTGCTTAGTGGGGTATCTATAGCCTTGGCCTCTCCCAACCTAATAGTTAGCTTTAAGGGTGTGGTTCTCCCTCGTTTATAACAGTTATTTTCTATGCTTTATATTCCAAAATTTATGGTGCAAGATTTAGGAGTGGCTAATCAAGTAATCACCAAGAATTTTCTTCCCCTTCAACAGACATTTTTCCGTGTCTTGCTACATTTATAGTTTAATCTACCCTCCTTAGTCCCAATCAAGAACAAAAACAGATAACTATATAGTATTACTGCTGCCTATTCCAGATCCTACAATTACATTTTCAGGTATATTGCTCTCTTCTTCTCTGTGCCCTTTACAAGAGCTCATATTAAGTTGTTTTCTTTTCAGGGAGGATCATTTTTCCGTTGTATTTGCTCAACATTAGTATCAACGGTATCCCACTTATCGAAATCTTTATGACAGAATGAAGAATTGTTTTTCTTCTATTTCTATTGACATTGCCTTCTGTAGAAACTTTTTCTACCCTAGTAAATTTTCTCCTATAAACAACAACAAATAACACTATAAATGTTTGCTCCATTTCTACTCCCTAAATCATTTTCATTATCTTTATATGCATTTTGGCTGCGAGATTATGAGTTTGATACCTTCTCGACAGCTAGCATTTATAATATGATCTGACGCCAATAGCAGTAAAGTTTTCTTTCCAAATAGAATACAATTTTTTCTAATAAATGAGGCCCTAATACATTAACGGACAGCAGAAAAAAAAGAGAGGAAGAGTAGGATGCAGTACTTACAAGACGTTGTAAGTTGGTTAATTTGTTGATCTCCATTGGAATTTCAACTATCACAACAGAAGAGTGAGAATTAGCTTCCAGGAAAACAACCTTTTTTAAGAAAATAAGATAAATATACAAAAACAATCTTCTAATAGAATTTGTCTTTATACTCTGAAGCTATAAGAAGACAGATTAGGAGCTCAAGAAGCTGGAGAACAATACCCATTTTATTGTGTGTTAAGTCGAGGGTACGTACAGATTTTTCCAGGTCAAAAACTTCATCAGGAAATGTCTGTTCAAAAAAAGGCTAGTCAGGAAATCACAAATATGTGGCCTTTCCAATGGACTCAATATGTTGCCTTATTTAACTCTTTTAGCATTTCATCATAGTAAGTAGCATCCATCAAAACAAACAAACAAGCAAAAAGTAACTCCTCTGACAATTATTTGTTTCAAATCGGGAAGGAGGGAGTAGTTAAATACCATCTCGCCTCTACTTCCCACAAAATGCATTTTTTCACTTTAACCACATAAGAAACAACAAAAAGATTTGCATGGGATGATCTACTCCATAAAGATGCTTGATTACATTTCATTATCCTAGTTAACTTAAAGCATCTCTTGGTGTATAAACTACAAACTCATGCCTATAGAGTCCAAGCTTCGTGTCAAGCTCTATTATACCTAGCAATGTTCATTTATTGTCATGGTGTTTGACTAGATAAAAGAATTAAGAAGTTAAAAGACTTGAGTAATAGTGTCATGTACGACTAAAAACAAGAACATACCCAGCATAATCCCACAAGAGTGATTCTACCTTTGTGGGGTAGAGAGGTTCTTTTAAATAGACGCTTAGCTCAAAAGAATGTACGACTAAAAGTTACTTAAGATTAGTCTTATAGAGAACTCATCACTTCATACTTCAAATTTTGAATAGTTTAATGAATTTGATCTAAATAGAAATTGTTATTTAAGAGAACATTTTTGGTATGCTAATCAAATAAGCCTGAAAATTCAATGAAAATCAGAATTAGTGAAACGAGAGGTCACACATAATTGATCATGAGATAAACATTGTCAGATTGCAATTAAAAAATTTTACATGTCAAATTAAACTATTGCAGAAACACGAAGAATAAAAGGAAATGCCTTCAATTTGGAGTCGCGTAAAGCAACGATTCCAGTGGACCGCCATCGCGAAATTGTGACAGCATCAGCGGTCTTGCTGCTGCTGCACCCCATTATTATCGATAATTTAAACTGATGGATTTTCCTCCAACTTCTCAGAGTTATCGGAGAAGTTGGTGATATCGATAAATAAGATGAGAAAGGTCTTCAATGAAAAGGCGTCGGAGACCTTTTTTTGTAGATTGGATATCCCCGAAGGGACACCGAAGGCGTTGACGGCGACTACCGTCGAGAGAAGAGAAAAAAAATCCCGACGACTTTTGAACGGAAAAGCGCGTTTGCTTTTGATTTGAGGTGGGGTTTCGATTCTATTTCCGTTTTTCTTGTGGTCAGATATAGAAAAGTAAATATATTATAATAAACAAATATTTATCAGTTATAATAATAATATTATTTTTTAATTAATTTATAATATAAGTTTAATACATATTATAAAGAATAATTTATTATTTACCTATAATACAAGTTTTAATAATGGATAATATATTTATCACACATTTTAATACACTTATAATATAATGTGATAATATTTTTACCAAACAAACATAATATATTTCAAAAACAATTATAATTCACTTTAATTACATATTACAGATTTATCGCAATATTGCTATAAATGGTTATAAACAAAAAGTATATCTAAAATCAATAATTATTTTTTAAATTGTATTAATTTATTTAATTTTTTCTATAAATATTACTTCCTCAGTTTCAAAAAATTTGGCCTAGTTTGATCACTAACGAAGTTTAAGAAAATAAAAATAACTTTTTAATCTTGTGATTCTAATTTAAAGTTATATCAAATGTATCAAAATACTCTTTAATTTTTGTGATTCTAATTTAAAGTTTTGTCAAATGTACCAAAATACTCTTTGATCTTGTAATGTCACGTGAAAAATTAAAATTAAAATGCTACAAAAAAAGTAAAGAATCATATTTTAAAATAAATTATTTTTTAAACGGACGGAGTATACAATTTTGCCTTTTCTTGATCTTGTACCAGGTGACTATAATTTACACATTTTTCTTATGTGTCTTTTTAATTAATTATAATTTTTTATAAAGATAAATAAGTTGCTATATTTTATTATAATATAAATTTTGACAAATTAATCAAATCATAATTAATTTATATTTATTTTAAATAGTTTCAAAAAGATGATTTTAAAAAGTTGATATAAGAATGAAGGTGTAATATCCAAATTCAAAGGAAAAAATGAAACCTTTTAGAGAATGATAGATATAATTAAGTATTTAAGAGCAAATTACAGATATCACATGTTTTTAAGGTAAAATTATAATTTATCCCTTAAAAGTTTATAAATATAAAGATATCTTAAAATAGATACAATAATATAATCACTGATACATTAATCTAATGTGCGAAATATATTAATCGTTAAATAAGATACATTACATTTTATACATAATACACTAATCTAATGTACATTTTATACATAATACACTAATTTAATGTGCGAAATATATTAATTTGATATGCGAGATACATAAATATAATGCGTGAAAATAAAGAATTTGAAAATTTATAAAACTTATAAAAGATAATGATATTAAATAAACTAAAAGACGAAATTTTCGTAATTAATCCAATATTAAACTAATAAACTTTCCTTAACACAGTGGTGGGCAACATATCATGAGTACGTCATTATAAGCTCACTATAAGTTTAGATTTATTTTTAACTAGTGTATTTAGCCGCGCTTCGCGCGGTTATGAAAATGATTAAAATAAAATTACATATTAATATTAATAATTACTTTAATAAAAAGAATTTTTTTTAATCACATAATTTTATAGAAGAGAAACTATGAAAAATATTTAGATTAAATATGAAATTTATTAAGAAATCAATATATGTGAACTTCGAAAAGTTAAATATTAAAAATAAATTTTATAGAGAAAAAGGGAAGGTAATAAGAATTGGGTGATATTAGAACTACTTAAATGTAAACTTGTGATCATTTTTTTCTTTTTTATTGAGATTTTCTTAGTATAATTTATATATATTTATGTAAACTTTACATCTAATCGTTCTTTTATGCTTATTTGTGATTTTATAAATTATATTCTTAGTATAATTTTTCGGTAATGTATAACTCAGATTACTATTAATAGTTAGTATTCATGACTATATAGTTAGCCAACACTATTATAAATCATTATCCACAATTACTATTACTTGTCCTCGTCATGACCCAATCATCACATGTTTTAATTATTTTTATTGTACAATATTAGATTAATTTAATATTTGTATTAATGACTTTTTAATAATTAAATTTTAAATAAAGAAAAGTTTAAAAATCTTAATTAGTTAAATTTCATACTTATTATTATTATTAATATTGTTATTATTATCATTATACTTAGGTTTAGATATCCAATTATTTTTGGGACAACTTATATTGAAAAAAAATATAAAATTTAAAAATAACATAAAAGAGAACAAAAGAGAGAATTAACTACGAAAAAAAGATTTAAAAAAATGACACATACACAATTTCTATTTCTTTTAATTTTATTTGGCTTAAACACAAAATATTAAATAATATTTTTCACATTTTAAATAAATATTACATTTAACATAATAAATTTCTAAGAATAAAAAGTCACAGTAATTAAGAGGTAATATGACTTTGAACTTTTGTAATATAATAAGAGTAATATTTGTACATTATTACACTAATAAAGAACATTAATTATAGAAAATGAAATATAAACAAATTAGAGTTATTGAGACAAATATTTTATTATAAGTAAATAGATAGGTAGGAAAGCAACTAAATTTTTAAAATTATAAATTAATCATAATTTTGAAATAACTTTAGAACTCCCAAAAAATAACAAACATGAAAATATAAAGACTTATTAATAAACAACTTGAAATATTCTAAGAAAAACAACAAAAATGAAAAATTTAAGAATTGTAATTTTACATATTAATAAATAATTTATTTTTGATAAAATTATGTGTAATTTAAAAATAATAAATTAACTTTACATTTTTATGATTTATCATTTTTGTTAATAAAAATTGTTTCACCGGATTATGAAAGTATATGTTCACATATTTTTTTAAGTAGCATATCGATTTCTACTTCTATATTTTAAAATATTATAAATCACAAACACAATAAACTAATATCATCAATAAAAAAAGTGAGAGATGAATTTACCTAAACAAATAATTATTTTGAAGAGTGTTATCATTATATACAGTTAAATTATCTATAAATCATATAGAGGTTTAAGGAGAATAAATTAGATGTTTTTTTTTTAAAAAAAAAACTCAGATTTCTATCTTCGTGAACATAAACAAATAATATTAATATATGTTTCAACAAAGAAAGAGTTGTAATTATATTAGACATATCAAATAATTTTTCCTTGTAAACTCAAATTATGCAAGAATGTCTAACCATTTTCATTATAGATATATCTTCTATAATCGGCAAATCTAATTAAATAAGTTAAAAAATTATCTACCAAAAAACAAAAAAGATAAAGAATAAGGAGAAAATTACATTTAAACACATATAATCATTTTTTGACAAAACATAAATAATTCAAAAAGAAATAATATAATAGAAACATTACTTCTTAAGGACCTAAAAAAATAAAGAATAATCACTATATAGCTCAAAATCCATTAATCTCTATCTCTTAATGTTTTCATTTCATCCTATGTATAAGAGTCAAGAAAAATAATAACAAATAAATTATTAGTCCTAAAATGAATCTCAAAGATAACAAATTAAAATATTACATCTCATAAAGGATAAGAAAAAATTACATTTAATCATAAATTCTGCTACATAATCATTTTGAACAAATAATCAATATATATAACTCAAAATCCATTAATCTTCATTGCTTGATGTTATCATTTCATCCGATAAACAAGAGTCAAGAAAAATAATAACAAATACATTATTAGTCATAAAATAAATTTCAAAGATAACAAAACAAAATAATTTATGTAGAAGAAATAAAAATACGATGACATATTAGCCTTACTTGCTAATTAAAAGTAATATATGAAATAATATTTAAAAAAACAATGCACCTCAAAGCTTACAAATATTGTAACATTCCTTCCACTAATTCCCTACCCAAAGATGACTACAAAATAACACACAATTTTAGTGTAATTTTTTAGTGTTAATGTAACCTTTCACATTAAATAATTAGAAGTTATGAATATGAAAGGTTTAAGAGGTTATGAATATGAAAGGTTTGAGGGTTATGAATATTATTAATACTAATTTAAGAATAAAATTTATATAATTAAAGAGGTATAAATTTATTAAAAAAAATAATTAAAAAAATAAAGAAAAAATATCAAGTAAGAGAAGAAAATAAGAAAAAATGATGGAGGTCATAGAGAGGTGCCACATCACCTCCTCTATGATCATCATTTATATTCATATATAGATTTACAAAAAATATAAGCCTAATATAGCCCGTTTCTCTCTCACATAAAAATACAAACTACTTACTGCCTATTATTCTTTTACTTTAATCCTCAACCTACATATCTTCATGAATCAAGTATAAATAAATTGGAGATGTATTCTATCTTGTCGAATTACCTTCGTAGTTCTTCTTCGCCCGACCCCCATCTCATAACATCTCGAGCGTCTCACATTTTTTTGGTGTATCCATGCATATGTATCTATCCACACACCATCTCTTCATACATCCAAATAATCTCAGTCTTAATTTTCTTATCTTGTGTGCCACCTAAATAATTTATGTAAAAAAAACTTTTTAAAATATGGAGAAAATAACATAATAAGTTCTTCATGTTTGAGGCAGATTCAAAAAAACATCCTTTCAATATTTTTTTATATTTATAAGTGACTTTAATTCTTGAAGTTAGTCAAAAATCACTATTTTTGATTTCTAGCAAATGCAATTACTCTTCTTGATATTTAATGAAAACATGTAATTCTTTCTGTCTCAATTTATGTGGTACCAACAAGATTCAATCAAACTTTTTTATGTTATTTAAAAGTTTTTAGTAGTCAATTTTATGATATAATACTTTTTATGTCATTTTCAAATAAGATATGTCACACCTTCTATCTCAATTTACGTGACACTTATAGACAAGAGTCAATCAACTTTTTTTTATGCCTTTTAAATTGTTAATTATTGTTGTTTACAATACTTCTCAGTCATTTCAAATATTTACTTTACTAGTGAAATTATTCGCGCTTCGCGCGATTATATGAAATATTTATAAGATAATAATATGAAATATATAATATTTACGTTAGTATCGAATATATAGATAATATTTATA